TGTCGCTAAAGTTTCATCGGAACGAAGTTACGGAAAGTTAATTAACAAACGGAGACGTACCAATATTATGTAATATATTACAATTTTACTATTATCATTCACAATAGTAAATTCTCTATCTTGTCTCCTGGTGATCTTTCAAGAAAAATATACATTTCCTTATTATCACAGGCCAAATATATTAATTTCCTTATCACACTTTCTTATAACACTAAAATTCGTAGTTCAACCCTGCAAAGCACATATAGCTCATTGCGCAGTTTTACATTTAAATAAACAAACAATCTATTCATGCATTGTATTCTTGATACTGTTTGTTTGTTTGTAATTATGCACTAAGCTACACAATGGGCTATCTGTGCTCTGCCCACCACGGGTATCGAAACCCGGTTTCTAATTCTTGATACTACAGAATTTATCGGCAATTATATTAGAATATCATTTTAACTCTGGATTCTCAGGCTTTTCCCACTAAATTCAGTTTGAGAATTTTTCTTTCCTAGTGTTTGAAATCGTCATTAATTATTATCTCTGCGCTATGATATCTCGCTTTCATTTCTGTTACTTTATCTCCTAATTTTTCTATATTCTTATCACCACACAATATTTCGTCAAACTTGCTGTTGGGCCATAGCAATAAAACTGTATAAAATTTTCATAAACTGTATCACTAAACTTGACAAATATTTTCCAAATTCAAACTTAATGATATGTTTAGTTATATCTTCAAAAATTTCTATAAGTCTTATCGCAGATGAGTTGTTACATTTATAAGCTCTTAATAACATATCATAACTCGTTCGAATTTCATACAGTACTATAATTTATTATTAATAAAATGTCTTTTTTAGATCTTCAGTTCTGTGATATCTTCAATGTTTTCTTCTCTTGGGCTCAGGCCTAATTTATGTTTTTAGCTTGGTTCCTTTGTGTTTCTCGTCTTTCATTACCACGCACGATTTCATTATTTTAACAGAGTATATTTGTCGAAAACTATTTTCCTGATCATTAAGCTTATCATATCTTATAGTTTTTAATTTCATAGAGCGATAAATGCTTCCTTTAGTAATTTCCTTTTTGTTAAGTCTTATGTCTATAATCTTCATAAACTAAAATACGAGATTCATTCACATTTCTGATAGTTTTATGTATCTATATTTTAAAAATTTATGGGATTTATAAAATTTATAAAATTATTATATCGTTAAAATACTGTTAACTATCCATATTTTGGGGAATGTGGTTAATTCCTTTAAAAATACAATTATTTCTATGACTTTGATCTTCCATCTTCTCGATTCCTTGTTGTTGTTTTTTTAATCTTACATGTTCTTCTTCTTCTTGCGGCACGGATAACGTTTCTTCAGACTTATTACAATTATATTTAATATTATTCAATTCCATTTGTAAACGGCCAGGTATGGCCAGGTGGTTAGGGCGCTCCCCGTCACATGAAATATGCTCACCCTTTCAGACGTGGGGCGTTATAAATATGACGGTCATATTCGTTGGTAAAAGAGTAGCCCAAGAGTTAGCTAGCTCCCTTTTCTATAGTCTTACAGCGCTAAATTAGGGACAGATAGCCCTCGTGTAGCTTTGCGCGAAATTCAAAAACAACCACACAAACGATTTGTAAAGTTTCTACAACTTTTTTTTCCACCTATAAATTATTCTATTGTAATTTCAATATTTTTATTCATTTCAGTCAACTCATTACAAATTGTTTCTTTTTATTCCCTGAAATTCCTCCATATTGTGAGTGAATATAATATTTTCGTAATTATTGTTCATTCACACTAATTCGCAGATCTGCTTGTGGTAATGTAATAGGTTATGGGTACTAAGGCGTTTCTCACCTCTAGAAATGTTTATAATAATCATTCTTCCAAATGTTTTAGTATTTATCACTTTGGGTTTTAGTGATATAGGTTTGTACTCAAATATTCTTGTCCTTTTAACAGTAGCTAATTGGAACCATATGTTTTTCGTGCATGATTCTTTGTAGGATTTAATAATAACATGAGTGTTATTTCTTTTTTGTTAATCACAAAGCTATACAATGGGCTATATGTGCTGTGCCCACCGCGGCTACAAAACCCGTTTTTTTTGCCAGTATAATCAGTGTAATCCCTCAGATTTACCGCTGAGTCACTCGGAGGGGAGGGTGATGAGTATTAACAGTAAGTTAATTAAAATAACATTTATTATATTAATACTTCTTTTAAGATTGTATTTGGGATTTCGCTAATGATGAAAACTTGAAACAGCATTTTTAAACACTACTGTTTGCAGGTAAAATATATATACCAATAATAATAACATAAGGTAATTTGTCCCAAGGTTTACTATTTTAGTGTTTCTTTGTAGAATGTAGTAATACTATATATTAATACAAAATTATTTGAAACCATATACGTTTCAAAAACAATTGTTATTGTGTGAACCTCTTCTATATGGGGGCGAAGCATGATTATAATTAAATAATTATACTTGTAATAATCCAATATTATTATTAGGCTTGTTATGTTTTTAAACACTACATTCTTTATCTAGTCTCTTAGGGATTTTCAAGAATTACAAGAGTGTATAATAATAGTATTCTAACCACACTATATCGCCATGTCCATTGCCGACGACGCTTTTCACTAAATCCAGAGCTTTTTAGGCAGGGGGCCAACAGAGGGTTACGCCTTCTCAGAGGCCAGGAGATGTAGAAGTACACAATGGAAATAAGCAAAGAGAGATGAGTAAGTGAGACCAGGTACTGAGATGGTGAAGACGAGTTTAATGCATGCTATTAGGAAATGTAATCAGAGATAGATGTGTGATAGAAGATCAGGCATCGGAGTTACATTGTAGTTGGGATGATCAGGTGGCAAAAACATAAGGTAAAGGTTCAGGAGATGATCCGTTGGAGGTAAGAGTTTGGGAGGAGTATTCACCGAATAGGATAGGATTTCGTCGAAGATATGGTTGTGATGATCGAAGCAGCGGTGAACATACTTCATTCGTAGTTCGCGTAGATGTGCGTGTATGGGGGAGGGAGAGATGAGAGAGTATAATTCCTGTGTAAGACTGGAACGACGTAATTGAAAGGCTGGATGAGAGAGTACGATTCCTGTGTAGGACTGTAACGACGTAATTGAAAGGCTATGCGTAAAGCGTGGCGTTCAAAACTTCCAGCGTGATAGCGTGAAGACGGAGCAGAGATCCAAGCAACATGACCATAGGTGAGGCAGAGTCGGACAAAAGCAGGGTAGGAATATAAAAGGAGTTGGGGATTTAAACCCCCAGGATGAACCACGGAGACGGTGAAGTAAATGAAGCCTGGAGTTAACCTTCGTGTGTAGGATGGCCAGGTGTGCTTTCCAAGTTAGATGTCGATCAAAGGTAACTCCAAGATATTTAACTTTTTTGGATAGGGTAATAGGAATGTTGTCAAGTCGGACATCAAAGAGAAGTGGATTTCGGCATGGATAAAACTTGTGGCGAGTCGGGCTAAAGAGAATAGCTTTGGTTTTGTGAGGGTGAAGGGTAAGCCTCCAGTGTCTGTACCAGGGAAGAAAAGAGTTGACGGCTTTCTGCAGAACTTTGTTGAGGGGAACCATTGTAGACCCAAGAGCAAGAAGAGCTGTGCTATCGGCGTATTAAAAGAAATAAAATGGAGGCCCCGGAGCTGGCATGTCAACAACATACAGGATGTACAGTACAGGGGAAATGACGGATCCCTGTGGAACACCAGCACGTATGGATAATGGACGAGAATGAATACCATGGTAGCTCGGCGATCCCGAAAAAGGAAAAAAAAAGTCTAATGTAGGAAGCAGGAAAATACAGACATTGGAGTTTGTAGATCAGCCCCTGGTGCCAAACAGAATCAAAGACGCTTTCAAAGTCAAATAGAACGAGGCAAGAAGGTTTAGAGGTGTAAAAGTGGTTTGTAATTAAATCGGAGAGCTTGAGGAGCTGATCAACAGTGGAGAGATGAGGGCGGAAACCTGCCTGGGTATGTGGAAGCAACTGATTGTCTACAATGAAAGAGCGAAGACGACGAACACGTATGCATTCAAAGGTCTTGCTGAGGACACTGGTTGATGGGCCTATAGGAATCTAGTTGAACTGGTGGCATGGATACTTTCAGGAAAAGAAGGATGGTAGGTAAGAAACCTGTGCGAAGTAGAAAAGTGTAGAATAAGTCTAATAGGGTAATAAACTGAGCAAGTGCATTGGAGAGATGAGGAAAGGTGAGACAATCTGGACTGGGGGCTGAGTTGCGACGATGACGTAAGGCAAGTCGGATATCTTGAGCAGTAATTGGAGCACACAGGCGGTTGGTTTCCAGAACATGGTTGAGAGAGGGGCGAAGAGTCGGAGAAGTATGGTCAGACAGTCGTAAGATGTCGGAGTAATCATCAAAGTCAAGGGGATGTGGTGGTGGAGGATTAAACTGCGACTCAAAGTGGTGTACAAAAGCATTGGACTTGACAAGCGTGGTAGCAGGAACCTGACCATCCACAAGGATAGGATAGGAAGAAGAGCCAGTGAGGATGCGAAACTGAGAGGAGGAATGACGAAGTCTGTTGCACAGGTAATGCCAACGACGATGTTAAATAGCTTGAATGAAATTTCTGGTTGTACATTGGAGACCACTGGATTGGTGTAAAAAAAAGTGGCTCATGGGAATGGCGATAGTCCTGGAAGAGGGAAGAGGCATGGCGAAGAAGCGTGATGGCTTATTGGAGTACAGAGGGACGAAAAGTACATGACAGTGAAGAGAGGATTGAGCGAGCACCTGCAGAGGAAAGAGCTGATGTCAGGGTATGTTCAAAGGTATCAACACTTGAAACAGTGGTAGGGTCAAGGTCGGAAAGAAGAAGCTTCCTGTAATCATTCCAGTCGGCTTTATGGAAATGGAGTCGTCGGTAGGGTGGTGACACGGGAGAAGAGCAATCAGCAATACGAACACATATGGGTAGATGATCACTGCCAACAGGACAAAGTAAGGAAACGGACAGTAGGGAAGAAACTGGGGTAGCTTTGCGCGAAATTCAAAACAAACAAACATTTATCAATTTTTGTTTGTTTGTTTTTTAGCTCTGAAAATTGGGATTGTCTTTGTAATAATAAGTAAATAATTTAGACTTATCTTTGTAAAGGTATTTTTGCTGATCTTGATTTTTATAAAAATGTTAATTATCCTCATGCCTATTTTGCGAAAATCAGTATAATATATTTTATATCACTTGAACGTGAAATGTTCATGTGAATAAATCAAGTTAGAAAATATTATTACTCAATAAATTCTAAAAGTATAAAGACTTTTCAATAACCTTGTCACAATAAAACGTATTGATTGTGTGATATCAAAGTATAAAGGCTTACTTTTCAACAATCCTGTCCTGATAGAACATATTGATTGTGCAATATATAAGTATAAAGGCTTACTTTTCAACAATCCTGTCCTGATAGAACACATTGATTGTGCAATATATAAGTATAAAGGCTTACTTTTCAACAATCCTGTCCTGATAGAACACATTGATTGCGCAATATATAAGTATAAAGACTTACTTTTCAACAATCCTGTCCTGATAGAACACATTGATTGCGCAATATATAAGTATAAAGACTTACTTTTCAGTAATTCTGTCCTTATAGGACGTATTGGTTATGCGAGCTCACCAGTGGCACAGCGGTATGTCTGCGGATTTACAACGCTAGAAACCGGGTTTCAATACCCGTGGTGGACAGAGCACAGATAGCCCATTGTGTACCTTTGTGATTAATTACAAACAAACAATGGTTATTCGATATGAAAGTATAAAGACTTAACATACTGAACCAAAGAATGTTTTATCTTTTTACAAGATCACATGGAAAGTGTCTTGTGAGTTCTACCTTTCTTTGTACTTTGTTTGAGTAGGTCAATGGTACGAAGACTTTGGGAGAAAATATTGCAGATAATGGAGGGATTCGCCAAGCGTATAAAGTAGGTAAACATCCTGATTTGGAAGTATCCCACTTAGTTTGTTCAATATTAGTGTATAAAGTAGGTAAACATCCTGATTTGGAAGTATCTCACTTAGTTTGTTCAATATTAGCGTATAAAGTAGGTAAACATCCTGATTTGGAAGTATCCCACTTAGTTTGTTCAATATTAGCGTATAAAGTAGGTAAACATCCTGATTTGGAAGTATCTCACTTAGTTTGTTCAATATTAGCGTATAAAGTAGGTAAACATCCTGATTTGGAAGTATCTCACTTAGTTTGTTCAATATTAATTAGTTTGTTAAAGACACAATTCACCGTTATAAAAAATCGTATCGATAAAAGAAATTTCTTAATCCAATTTGATGACTTTTATAAGTTTTCTAAGGTATAACAAAATGCATGTTCAGAAGAAGATGTTTGCTTGAAATGGATACAGTCTTCCTTTTGCGTGTAGGAATTTCATGATTCCTTAATAATCGGAATGTTCCAGCAAAGAGTTAGTGAATAGAAAATATGAAAATCTGGAAATTTTTACAACAGCAGTTAACATAGTGGTAAAGTATTAAATACTAGCCTTTTGGCACTTTCCATAATCGTTCCATTTCTTAAAACTACTAATGACTCTGTAAACTACTATGAAGAACTTTTTGTCATTTCATAAACAGGCTTACCACCACTGGGTTTCACACAATGGATACGAACTGCCTTTGCCTGGATTACCATATTCTGAGGATCAACTTTTCTGGATCAGCTTCGCGATAGTAATGTGTCTAACTTTACATTTTATATCTTTTAACATGATTTTTAGTGTTATTAGATCGAAGATGGTTAAGGTGTTATTATGTTAATACATTACTTAAATCGAGTTAATAATAGTTTAAAAGAAACTTTAACAGTTGAGTGCTACTGGGGCCCATCTTTACATATTCACATTACGGAATATGTTGACTTCTTATTTAATATTTCAAGTTAAAAAATATCTTAGGTTACTTATTTTCTAATAAAGATTATTACTTTAGATTGAGCTAAATAGAATTCCTGTATGATATCCTAAATTTCACATTAATTTCATGTATGTAAGATACATAACTACATTTGGCAGTCTATATTAGTTGTATTATTAATATATTTAAAAAAAATTAAACTATTACTAATCTTAATTATTATATAATATTTTTTTATTTTATAGAAATGGTGTAGTGAAACATCACCATCACAACTGCTTGAGAACATTTCACATGATGAACATACACCAGCAATGTATAGGTAAGTTAAAATATTACGCAGAAAAATAAGATTAATAAAGTATACATTGTCTCATACTTCGGAGACTAGACACCAGTGCTTCTAACAGATTATTTTTCTTCTCATGAAAGTATTGTTTTCAAAATATGTTTCTTTGTCACTAAGCCTACTGCCCCCCCCCCCCAGTGACACAGCGGTTTCTCTGCGGACTTACAACGCTTGAAACCGGGTTTAGATACCCGTGGTGGGTAGAGCACAGATAGCCCCTTGTGTATCTTTGTGCTTAATTTCAAACAAACAAACACTAAGTCTACTTAGAGAAAGGTATGTAGGATCAATTCGGAACTGACAGTTATTTGGATTTTTTTTTAATATTAAATATTTAAGAACATAATCATCCGGGCTGGTCAGGTATCCTTCGCCCCTAATGTAGGGATAATCAAGTAAATATTTAAGAACATAATTATCCGGGCTGGTCAGGTATCCTTCGCCCCTAATGTAGGGATAATCAATGAAATATTTAAGAACATAATTATCCGTGCTGGTCAGGTATCCTTCGCCCCTAATGTAGGGATAATCAATGAAATGTTCTTTTCTTTTAAACCATCATCTGTAATTATCACAAAATGACACCATGTTTTCCATATCTTGTAAAGATTTGTTTCTTTGGTGTTAAACACAAAGCTACACAATGGGTTATATTTGATGTGCCTGCTAAAGGTATCGAAACCTGATTTTTAGTGTTACAAGCCCTCAGACGTACCGCTGAGAGACTATGAGTTTTATTCCAGCCAACAAAACTCTTTTATCCAAAATTAACAGAAGTAATTACATAGCATAACTTATGTTTATACTCTTATCCTTGCTCAATACCATAGTTGCTTTGTACGTGTAGTAATACTATACATACTAGAAACTACTGTTTCAAATATTTTATTACTCTTACATCTACCCCCCTCACAGTATTTAAAGATCGAGCGACATAACATATAAACGTAAAAGAGAGAAATATTCTGGTGGAAACATATCAACGTGAGACAATACAATTAAAGAGTAATTAATTATGTTTAGTTATTGTAATCGACACGTCAAGGAAGTATTAAAGGTATTTACTCCAACATATAAACATGGGCCAACACATAAACTTCCTTGATGTGTCGATTGCAATGGCTAAACATATTTAATTACTCCATTAAGGGTATTTACTCCAACATATAAACCCTTAGTTGTGTTGGCCCATGTTTATATGTTGGAGTAAATACCCTTAATACTTCCTTGATGTGTCGATTACAATAACTAAACATATTTAATTACTATTTAATTACTCCTTAGTTGTGTTGGCACATGTTTATATGATGTTTAGTTATTGTAATCGACACATCAAGGAAGTATTAAGGGTATTTACTCCAACATATAAACATGGGCCAACACAACTAAATTTAATTACTCCATGTTTAGTTATTGTAATCGACACATCAA